GTGCAGAGTCCAGGAGGTTAACAGTGAACAACTGTATTTTATCTGCAGCCAGGGAAGTGGGCTCAGTGTTGTTAAGAACAGGCAAAGACACGGCAAAGTGCTTCCCAAGACGGACGCTGAGACCTAAGTCCCAGGGATGTGCACCTGCTGGAAAGCTGACCTTTGCCCCAGGTTTTCTCCTGCTTTCCTAACCACTGCTCTTATTTGTCTGCAGGAGTCATTCTTTGCCCTTCTGCGTTACTTCTCTGAGCTAACAACACTCAAAGCAAAGACAAAAATGAGAAATTTTGTTTTCCTCAGAAACATATTAGAAGGCAGGGCAGTCTTCATCAATGGCAAACGTCAGAGCTGGAGATGTAGTTCCATGAGGAGCACTGGCCAGGCATATGTGAGGCCCTCGGTTCTACCCCCAGCACCACAAGAAAAAAAGAGGACGATGACCACAGCGAAGAAAAAAAGATGCTCAGATTTCCCATCTACAGTCAAAGGCAAAGCTTTGAGGGTGGTAACATTTGGTTTCTCAAATTATACAGCGGGGCATTTATTCAAAGGCCAGATTTCCCATTACTCTCATTTTAGGGTCTGGAATTTGCCTAAAGATAAAGCAACAAGAATAGCTATTCCCTAATGATTTGCATATATTTAGTATGCTATCCCAGCAGCCAGATACGCTCAAAGTAATAAAACACTTCAAAATGAAAAATAGAAAATAGTGCCTCTCTTCCAAGTTTTAAAAAATAAAAAAGTAAATATTCCAGGTAAGCCTGAGTTTTCACCTAGTTTTACCCAGGAAGCCATGCTCAAGGCCCTTGCTTTAAATAATGTTCCTTCTCTGGCCTCCTTAACATTCTAAATGAGCAGACAAGTTTTTGTTACCACCAGCAACTCATCTACATTGCCCCCTCCACACTCACACATGCAAGTACGAGAAACTCAATCTTCCTGCTTCTTCAACATGAAAGGCTGCCTGGCCCGGCGGTGCCGAGGAGTCTAGGGTATTCCAAGAAAGGGCTTAGATCACAGGCCACCTGGGCCTCCCCTGGGAGCTGCCTGCTGACAGCAGGCAGTGAAAACACCCCCAAGGCTGGGTGCTTATGTGTGAATTCTTGTTATTTAAATTGTCTTCTGAACTATAAGACTTTCAGGTTTCCAACCAGCACGAACGGGACAGATTCTGCACCCAGTAGCAAAACTGCACAGAGAGGAGATAATCAAATGAACCATGCAAAGTGAGCGGGAAACAGACACATACCATGGATCTCTAGACTCTCTAAAGTTCATTCTTATCAGCCTAACAAATATCGGACTTCTTTAGGAGAGCTAAGCTGTTCACTAAAGTCACAGAGGAAAAGCTTGGCATTCTTCCCATTTTTATTAAATAGGTGGGTAGGGATCCTTTTTAACACAGAGAACTAAGAGCATGAGTATGTAAATGAGAGAGCATGTATATGTTAAGGTGAGTCCCCTGGAAGAGGTAAAGGATGAAGACATCTATATGTTTGGCTAGGAAGGGCAGACCAGAGAGATACGTTTCTCAGTGTGGTCCACAGGTCACTTGTATCAAACTCACCTGTGATGTTTGTTACAACTACAGATTTCTGGCCTGGACTTTCCACTGCTGAGTCTGATTTAGTGATCTGGGGTGGGACTTGGAACCTGCAGGTTTTACTCACTTCCCTAGTGATTCCTAGGCACCTTGGAGTTTAAGCATCTTAGCACAGAGTATGGGAAGCACTTTTGTTCTGATGAGTCATCTTTTTCACGTTTGGTTTCAGACAGACCAAGGTTATTTCACATATAACCCTACAAAGGGTACATAATAAAGGTTAAATTATTCAGAATGTGAGGCCAGGACAACTGGACATCTATATTGATAGATAAAAACTCAATTCCTATGCATACCATACATAAGATTAATTCTAGGTGAATGAAAACTCTAAATGTGAAAAATCTCCAATCTGTACCTTCAGAAGAAAAAAAATATTATAATAGGGAAGGATTTTTTTGAACAAGCTCTAAGAAAGCACAATGTATGAAGAAATAATTTATTAATATGGCAACATGAAAAAATTTAAACTCTTTATGATAAATGACTTGAAATGTAAAAGAGATACAACCAAGCGGGAAAAGATACTTGGAACACATAGATCTGGTAGATTATTATTCATAGTTTCTAAAGAACTTCTATAGATGAGTAGGAAATAGACAATCTAATACAGAAATGGATAAGGGATATAAACTGGCAACTCACTGGGAAAATAAAGGAATCGCAATATCCCATAACAAATGAAAAGATGTGGCCGGGTGTGGGGGCGCACGTCTGTAACCCCAGCACTCAGGAGGCTGAGGCAGGATCGTTGTGAGTTCGAGACCAGACTGGGCTACAAAGTGAGCTCAAGGCCAGCCTGAACTGTATAGTGAGACCCTGTCTCAAAAAGACCAAAAAAAAAAAAAAAAGAAAAGATGTTTAAGCTCACTATCAAATTTCACTGGCACTTGCAAACATTTTTTAAAAAATTAGATATCATTGGATATTTATTTGTGTGTTTGTGGGAAAATGACAGCTCTTCTATATTATTAATGGTACTACTGTTGATAAATTAAACAATTTTTTTTTTTTTTTGTACCGGGAATTGAACTCATGACCTCACGCTTGCCAGGCAAGTGCTTATGCTGCTGAGCTACATCCCCGGCCCCAAATTAAACAATTTAGAGAATGACTTCTTAATCTCTAACGTAGGAAGGCACAACTTTATGACGCATCAGTTCTCCTTCTAGATAATGAAGAAAATTTCATATATCGGTACAAGGAAATGTGTCTAAGGATGTTTATTTTCACGTTGTTTATAGTGATAAAATAGTACAGAACAGCAAAATATCTGTGAACAGGGTATTGAATAAACTGTGCTATACTCATACAGTGCATTACCGGTAGCAGTTACAATGAAATAGGTCTACTGAGTCTGTACAGATGAACCACCAAAACCTCAAGACAAAAGAAAAATATTTCTGATGTATACAGATAGGGTTGAAAATGTGGATCAGTAGTAGAACACTTGCCTACTATGTGCAAGACTCTGGGTTTAATCCCCAGTACTGCAAAAAACAAATGAAAACAAAACAAAACAAAAACTAGCATATATCAGCATGCATAAAGAATAATACCACTGAAGTAAGTCTTAACAATAGAAATAGCACTGGGGATATAGCTCAGGGGCACAGTGCCTGCCAGGCAAGCACAAGGTCATGAACTTGATTCCTGGTACAAAAACAAAATAAAGCAAAACAACAGAAATAGCATTACATGCCATTAGGTGAATAACCAAACGTAATAAACACTATAAAGCATCTACACAAATGATCTGCTCAACTTTCAGTTAATAGTTTCTTCTAGGGGAAGAGCAGGGGGACTTTACCTGGGATGCTACGTGTCTTAAAAAATCAAGATCTGAAGTAAACCTTATAAAATGTTAACATAGTTGTTCATTTGGGTTTTGAGTAAACAATGTTCCTTGCACTATCTGTGGAGACTAAAAATTTTATATACAATCAAAAGGAAAACTAAGAACAAAATCAAACACAAAGATACTATCAGGTAAGCAGAGTCTGGCGCCATCCATTAATTGCCCAGTGTGCAGGTCAGTTCTCTGGGTGGCCTTGGACCGGCCAGGCTCGCCTCTGTGTTCCCCTTGTAGTTCTTACTAATGATGGTAGCACGTGCGGGAATGTGACGTTCAGAGATAAGAAGGGCTGGCTGGTACAGCCTCTTCCCTAGAGACACAGTCCTCTAATGCCTCATCCCAGGGAGTCCTGTCTCCCCAGTTTACAAAACCCAAGCCAGACTGCTCTCTGGAGCCCTGTCGCGGCAGTGTAAGTGGGACACACAATTCAGACTTCATTTGCCCTGGGCAGCTTTTCTGAACCTTGAGGGACAAGTTCGTAGTGATCACAGGTTTCTGTGGGCTCTTAATGCTTATTTGTGACTTCCTGCTTCACGTAACTTATACAACATGTGCGTGCTGGTTAGTCTCATTAGGCCCTGGCAAGTTGGGATCAAGTATCGGTGCACAGCGAATCTGCCTCACACGGATACACAGGAAGAAGCAGGAAGTTTATCAGTCTCTTCAAAGAAAGATGGCAGAGAACAGAAATAAGACTTCCGTAAGAGCTAATTCCTACTGGATTTGGTGAAACAAAATGTAGGTGTTTCCTTGTGGAGAGAAGACGGAGATGCTGACAACCACATGGGTAGAGCGATACCTTACATCCAATGTTTTTAGTAGCTAGGAGACAACGTGGTTATACTTTTCACCACTAAATAAACTGGTCGTGAAAATAGTACCAAAGACAAAGAGAGAACGCTACCTCATAGAGTGAAATACAAAACATGAAGGCATGCTTTGGCACATCCTAAAGCAATACACTTGATCAGGCCATACGCTGTCAGAGGGTGAGGTCCACACAAATCACACTGTGAGAGCCAGTGGGCTTAATCTTCCTCTGGGTACATCCTCAGCAAGTTTCTCTTGTAGTCATGTACTAAGGGCACAGGGGTCAACGTGAGCACCTCTTTTTCTGAAGTCTCTGACAGGTCACCTTCAACCCAACACCATGGTGTCCAGCTCCATCAGGTGAGGTGAGCGCCTGGTAGAAGGTACCTCTGTGAAGCAGTTTGCATTTAAAATCAGGTTCACTGGGCCAGGGGAAACTCATTCCTTCAGGATTTTTAACCTTCTTTCCTGGGCAATATTTTAGAAAGTCCACTCTTTTGGAAAGCAGCTGTTCACTCAATAAATATTTCCTGGGTACCATCAATACGGTAGGCCCCAATTTAGAAGTTGGAATAATGGTGGTGAACAAGAACGACAGCTCATTATTTTCATAGAGCTTACACGCTAGGGTGGGGAAATAGTGATAAGTAAACAAATCAATGAATCAGAAGGGTTCAGACAGTGGGAACTGCCTGGCAGCAATGAAACGCGGAGCTGTGATTGCAGTGATCAGTAGGAGCGGGGCCCGCTGTTGACACAGTAGTGGCACAGGTCCACCTGAGAAAGTGACATTTAAGGGCCAATCAGAGGAGTCAGCATGTGGGCACCTGGGGATGGAATTTCCCGAGCAGAGGTAAGGACTATGTGCAAAGACCTGGAGAAGGAACAAGCTTGCAGAACTGGAAGACCACAGAGTACAGGCCTGGGGCCAGGAAGGCATGAAAAAGACGGGCGCTGGTGGATGAGATCAGAGAAGTCAGCAGGAACCAGGTCGGGCAGGGCCTCGACCGAGGCAAAGGGCTGATATTATTCTGAGCATCATGGAAAGTCACTGGTGTGGCTGCAGCGAGGGCAGGATAACCCATGATCCTCTTTGCAGGAGGTTCCATCTCTGCCCGCCTCTGGTGCAAACCTTCAAAAGGCCACTTTATCTCTTTCTCAGCAGGACTGAGGCCTTCTGAGGCTTACAGTGCCCCAGGATACAGCCCAAGTCCAGGGAGCAAAAGGAAGAAGGCCGTCTTGATGCCAAGGCTCTGGCTTTGGTCCTGTCCCCATGCGGCCAGGTGGAGGCTGCCTCCTCTCTGTAAGAGACGCATGGGGCTGACATATTAAGGAGTCTCCCAAGGTCCGCAAACCCCCATTTCTTCGACTTCTCTGCCTCGTTTGCAGCCTCACAATAAGCAGCAAAACTTTCTTTAGGAAAAGAAAGAAAAAAAGTAGGTCAGGGCTTGTCTGCCTGGTAGCGCACGGAGTGCTGAGCAAACTCCAAAAGCAACCGCTCCACTCGGAGGTCTCTATTGAGCAATCACGGTGATGTCAGATCTGAGGGCCTCCAAAGCAGTAGGACTTCTGAACCTGACCTCACCCGTGGTTTTCCTGGTAACTTTTTAAAACCATTACTTCCTGCCCTGTGCTTTATTTATCCCACATGTTTATTTTCTATACAATCTATTCCAAAACAGAGCTCTGTGTGAGTTTCCAGGTCACCATGTCCCATCGGGGCAAGCTCAACAGATGTGGGATGAGCTGAAAGATAAAACCAGCCCTCACTGCCCTTGCTGAGCGCAGGCTGCCGCCCGCTGCAGGCGTTCTCATTCTGAACCAGGGAGGGAAAGCCAGTGCCTGTCATTCATGCCATCAATCTTCCTTCTCTGAAGGTCATGCTGTGGGTAGGGCAGGCCCTCCCAACCCCCATATCCACGGTGTCCATGCTGACATGTTCAACATGAGGGTGGAGGTCAAAGCAACGTCCAGAGATTCCTGAGAAGCTTGCTTTAATTCCTTTTTTTCTTCTGAGGGCACCAGCAATTTCCTCCCATTTAATTCATTCTCTGGGTCTCCTGGCATGCCCTGCTGTTGTCATGGCAACAGGGACCAGCAATGCTGCTGAGGTTAGTGTACCCTGTGGCCCACTGCCCATGGGCCTCCCGGCCTGGCCCAGGCAGCCCTGCCTGCACCCGGCAAGCACACTGCCCACGCCCTTCCCCCAGCAGCCCAGCCACCACCGCAGGACCAAGAGCCAACAGAAGCTTCAGACAAGATTGATGCCCCCTGTTCCTCTACTAGATCCCAACAAATTAGAAAACCAAAAGCGCTCCCTAGAAAACCAAACCCCAAACCTTTGAACTCTGCTTGGCTAAAATTAAAATTGATCTTTCGTGCTTCTGAAACCACAAGCAGACAGTGGGTTTTGACTGTGGGCTGCTTTCTTTGACCTCTTCCGGGCAGGAACTCATTCTTCAGCTGGTGTTAGGGCACCTCAGTCCTCGGAGCCCCAGCGTGCACAGCGCCGGGGGCAGCGGCAGCGAAGACAGTGGGCACAAAAACGCTCGTGTGAGCAAGCGTGAGTCAAGAGAAAGGCTTCTCTGTGCTCTTTATTCCTGACTATTGTTTACCATGCATTATTCGTTATTTATCGCATGCTCAGCCTCTAGCGCAGAGCACCTGGAACACAGTAGGTCACCAATACAGATTCATTAAATTAAAAAATAACGTTCTCTGAGCTCTTGCTGTGTGCTAGACACTGTAGTAATTTACACATATCTATCTCAACTTTTACTATAGGAATATTGTACAAAGGAAATACCTCTTATCACGTGAAAGGCACTCTCCAAAGGACTTTACTTACATTAACACAACTGATCCTCCCGCCAACCCTGTAGCAAGGTGAATGGTGGCCCCAAAAAGATACAGCCCAGTTTCCACCTCTGAAAACTATAAATGGGAACTTATTTGGAAGTTAGGATTTTAGGATGAAATTATGTTGGATTAGCTGAGCATATCCTAAACCCAGTGGCAAGTGTAGATCTCCGAGAGAAGAGGAAAAGTTAACGTCACGATCACGGCAGCAAATGCATAGACACTGCCATAGCCAACGACTACGCAGAGCTACCAGAAGTTGGCAGCTCCCTCTCCAGAGCTGTTGGAGGGAAAGCAGCTCTCCAAGATCTTGATTGTGGACTTTGGCCTTCCACAGCTCCCACAGAATAAGATTTTGTTTGAACGCATCCATTTTTTTGCAGCAATCAGTCATGGCGGCCTTGGGAAACCAATGCAAATCCTAACAGTTTTCACAAAGAAGCGAAGCACTGAAGATGAAGTAACTCGGGCAAGTTCACAAATAAGCGGCAGACCAAGTCTGAACCCAGGCTGTTTGGCATGACCTCCTTGCTCTTAAGAACTACATCCATCCCTGGGTGAGAAGGGAGTGCTATGCATGTTAGGTGTTGAGGTACGGGTATAAACAAAAGAGATAACGCATCTCATAAAGCCTACATGGAAACTGATGTGATGTTCAGGGGGGTGAATAACCTGCCTAAGGTCATGCAGCTGGCAGAGTTGGGATTTGAACCAGAAACCGATTCCAGATCCTGCCCTCTACTCGCAGAAACAAAACAGAAGGCATGGGTTTAGGCAGCCCTTGTGAACACTAACTACAAGACAGTGAGGAAGCACAGTGGTCTGCGGCGCTGTCCCCTTCCCTCTGAGCGAGGTCTCTTGTCAAGGGCTTCACTCAGGCTGCCCTGTGATGGTGGAGAGATGGTACCGGAGCAGACCACGGTAGCCAACTGGTCTACTGGGAGGCAGGAGCAGAAGCGGAGACTCTCTTCCACCTCTGCTGCAGCGGCCCCACACCTGGGAACAAGCCCAGGGGTGCTGGTGGACATCGACTTTACCCCTGCAGACCGAAGGCAGGCTAAGACATTTGACCCGACCCTGCCAGCACCAGGGGCAGGTCTGCTTCTCAATTTTCCACAGAATAATCTGAATTCCACCTGGAGAACAAAAATGACTTCTTAAGTGAAACCAGATGTCATTCTCCAGGTCCAAGGGCAAAGCTCTGAGTGGCGCATCTGCACTTTCAATGAGCAGAGATGTTGTGTCCAGGGACTTCCGACACTTAAAGACAAACACATTTAAGAAGATCAAGGTGCCAGAATGAGCTGGAAATGTGTTTTTAATTTTTTTCTTCCTTGGAGGAAAACAAAAACAATGAATATATATATATATATATATTCATTATATATATA